TTTCCCATTTCTATACCACTTGCAGATATTTGCTAGCAAACTGGATAATGAACAATAGCAACCAGTTTAGGTGTGAAAATGAGGTCTCATGAATGAACAGTGAAACATCTATCCTCCATTTCAATTCGTGTAGTGATAAATAACTAAATTTATCAAAATAAAATTAATTGAAAATAGCAATTCACTCACTATACATTGCATTAGCATCACTTTATATACTTATCCTTCAACATTTTAATTTCTATTAATATTTAACCCAAAAATATTACTCTTTTTTTTACATCTCTCTATTCCGTAAATTTATTTTTTATCAATTCAAGTAGCTAGACTATACTATTTTATATTTTGACACAATTTACTTAACTATTAATATGATAATTTATTTAATTACTTTTAAAATTTTATTATTTCTATCAACAATATTTATAATTGTTTTCTCTTCTTAAATTTTTTCGTAAAAAAGATGAAGAACGTAAGAAACAAAAACTGAAAAACTATGTATATATACTTGAAAACTTTTTAAATGAACATGGTATAAAACCATAACCTCAACTTAAAATTGAAAAAAAAAAATGAAATTCATTTTAGGCTGCAAAATAATAAATGTCATATACTAAATTACTTGATTTTTTTAAAAGTTTTTATGAATATAACTTATTTATTTGACAACAACGACTAATAATTTTGCATTTGCCCATTTAATAATTTTGGGAAAAAAATCAAATGAAGTTTTTGCTACATTTTCCAGCACTGTATATTAATTAATTAAAATCTTTTTCCTATGTTTGAAATGAAGATCATAAATTTTGTAACCATTCTTCACCAACTTTAAAAGGTAAAAAAAAAACATTTATTAAAACATAATATGCTTTTAGTAATTAAATTTCAAGAATAATAAAATAGTTTTTAAAGTGATATTTAATTTAATATGCACTGTGTGATTTATTACCTTCAATTAATGGTATTTTGGTTTGTTCAGCTATTTATAAAGACAAATTTATAAATATTTCAATTTCTTACAAAATGTATTTTTTGCATGAAAAACCAAAATAAAGTAAGCAAAATATGGCCTAGATGAATGGTTTATCTTGGAATTTTTATTTTAAAAATAAATTTATGTCCCCTATGGACTTCTTACAGGTGAACGACGCCATATTTGAGCCAACAATATGAGGCACGGAATTTTCGTTGGTGAAAGGCTATTGTCCATTGACTTAGGTAAAATACTATTACATTTGCTAACTGATAATCTGTTACTAAGTATCAAAGGATTCATTTCGTTAGAGAAAATGTGATTTTTCATTTACAATGTGATAAATGAATCTCATTCTTTGAAATTAATGTTCACATAAAATATTGCAGAAAGTAGAGTATAAAAACTTGAATTGATCATTCTTAGTTGTACAATGATGTGTAAGTTTCCTATCTATCACATATTTCTATTCAAATTCCTTCAAGTAATGAATTTCAGACAATTAAAAGGACAGACACCGAAATCTTGACCTTGCTGTTTGGTAATAAGCCAAGCTGACCAAAAAAATTGGCCCCGGTCGGTGATCACCAACGTAGGATAATATTTAACAGTTAGTTACAAATTAAAATCAGATGTCAATTACTTAGTTCGTAGTATTTTGGTCTGGTTTGTGACAATGGGACAGAATCACGACATCCAAACTGTGTATTACATAACAATCGATGTCAATTTCAGTTCGCCAACTTGTACTGTTTCAACATATACATTAATGTTGTTGTCGATTGAATTGAAATCGAACCCACGTTAAATACATGTGGGTATATTAATGTGGTGGCAATAGTCCGGGTTGGCCATTGATTGGACGATAACCAACTTTAGATATATTTTTTTAATTGAGTTACCTAATTTTATCTTATAATAATTAACTTATTTACTTCTTGTCGATATTGAAGTCATGATGGATCGAGCTGTGAGCATATCTGCAAACTAAGGAAAAACATTAGAATGCTTGTAGGGTTACTAGCTAGTCTCCAATACGTGACCTTACATGCTCACCTTATATGGCACGTCCGACGCTGTCTCACCATGTGTTTGCTACATAAAATATTGGTGTAACACTTCAAAACAACTACCAATAAAAGTATTATTTATTTTAAAATTTAATCATTTACATTGACTTAAACGTTATGAATATATTAATTTCTTCCAAAATTATGGCTCGAATTTTTTTGAATAATTACCTATGATTACATTTGTACCATCTTAAAACTTGAAAATTATCCTGAAAATATAGATCTAATTTTATTTCAAAATATATATTGCCTTTAACAAAAGAGACTATCCAACTTAAATTTGCAAAAATTCTATAGCCTTAAATTTGTAAATTTGAAAGTGACACTTGAATAAATAACAGACCAATCACATGATACTAAAATTAAAATATCAGAAACAAGATTGAAGTTCAAAATCACTTTCACAACACAAATCAAATTGAAATTGAAATTGACATTATGCGTTCCATAATGACAAGATTCCGTCTGAAATACCACATATATTTCGGCAATGACAAAGTCCGAAGTTTGGAAAACTATGGTTCTAGTTAAATGAACAAACCAATTATTATTATGAAAACAAAGATGAAGCGATTGTTAAGTCGTGTAATTTAATTATTGTCGATCCTAATTATTGCCACTTCGCGAAACTGGTAGTTGATCAATTTTGCGAATTATTATTTAATCTAGTGATTGTTTAATAATTTATATTTTTGTAAAATCCTATTAAGGAATTGAAGTCCTTATATAATTTGATTTTGCTTTAATTTATCTTATAAATAGGGAGTCGTCCTTACATTTTATTATTATCATAAAAAAAAAAAAAGAGAGGATAGGGAAGCTAGGAGTGCGATTTTCTCTTGTAAACCTTTTTTTTTCATCATAGTGAATTACCGTAGCGGTAGGAGAGGACACAGTCTTACATTGAAATGAAGCTCTATAAATCTTGCTCTCGATGGAATAGAATTAAGATTTATAATTCTCAACGACAATTGTACAATAACATGGTTCATATGGCTGAATTTTCTTTTCTAATTCTTTGAATAGAGGTTTAGGCTAGATTTTGTACTCCTATTTGCAGTACTCTTCAACTCTAGGGAGAAATTTTCTGAAGGCGATCGAGTATGGTGACAATTAGGGGTACCCATGAAATCCATAATCCACAGCAAAACGAAGTTAGGGTGCGCCACAATGCTATATTAAAAGATCATATGTTGTAAATTTCATTATGTTAAAGGATAAATTCACATCGATTAAATATCGAAATATAGACAAACATGTAAGGGCTTGTGCTTCTCATTATAACAATTTGAACATTTTAAGATGGAACTAATTTGAACAATATAGTGAATCAAACCAAGAAAAGAGAAGAGGAGAATAAGAAAGAGAGAAAAACCAATGATCTATTGAGCCACAAAATTTTAGGTTTAATAATGAAACAACTAAGGTTATATATTACAAGAATCCTACGACAAAAAAAAACTACTATTGTTAAATAATATTATACTATATAACTAATATTATGATACTATATATTATTGCTAACACCCCACTCAAGATGCTACTATAAGAAGTAGCGAGAATTTGTTGAGCAATAAACGAAAATGATGAACTTGATGAGACTTCATGAAGGAGTCAGCAAGGTGCAACGATAAAAAGATGAAAGGTAGGGAAATTACCAATCTACAAATTATACG